GATACCAGCCTGGGGTTCCTAAGAAGCTGCGTAGTTTTCGCGTATTTGGGGCACTTCTATCTTCATAATCGCCTCAACTTTCTTCGGATCTGTCCGCAAGGCCCGTTCACCGAAGATAAATCCCAAATACCGCAAGTATTTAAAACAAAATGTTGACTTGTGTAGGCCGATCGTCAAATTTTCTTTATTTAAACACTCCGCCACTTCTTTCAGCAACATGTAGTGTTCTTCGAAAGCCTTCTTCTACAAGTCATCCAAGTAAAAAAACACGCGGCTGCAAATACGCTGTGGGATTACCTTCTTTATTACCCTACACAACCTTTGAGCCGAATTACATAAGACGAATGGCATCCGTCGAAACTGATAAAGTGGCCTTCCAGGTATTGTGAAAGCGGTCAAGGAACGACTTTTCTCATCGAGTTCCACTTGCCAGAACGCATGTTTTAAATCGATACTGCTGATGAATATCGTCTCATCTATTCGGCTTTAAATCGACTCAATGATTTGTAATGGGTAAGCATCCTTCACTGTAAGTGTGTTCAGATTTCTTGCGTCTAAGCACAGCCTATTCCTTATTCCAGGGACTTTCACTTAACTCGATGACTCCTAACCGTAACATTTCATCGACTTGACAGGTACGGCTCCTTCAACTAACTGGTTCGCGTGTTCTTCTACCTTGGTAAGTCCTAATCCTTGACTTTCGTGTGTAAGAAAACGTCCTTTTGCTTCTTCCAGTTTCTCAGTCTGTTCGGGGAATATCGGTTCTCCTTTGGCCATAAATTCGGATTCCACCTGGTGTAAGGGTTTCACACCTACCACCTTTGGTGCCAATTCAAATTTCCTCCAGAAATCTATACCAAGGTACAATTTTTTCTTCAAGGAAGGACAAAGGAGTATCGGCAATCGATGTGTTAACCCATTATACGAGATGCTGGGTTGAATCTTCCCCTCTACTCGATGCTGCGTACCTCCTGCTGATTTCATTATCGATTTTGACCTCCATAATCTCAGTCCTAACCTTTCCACTGTTTCTAGGAAACCTTCCCCAAGCAAGCTTACTGATGACCCGGAATCCAAGAGGCCCAAGGCCTCCAGATCTTCGATCTTGACCTGTGCGAATGGTCTATTGTCGCCTTCCACCGCAGCTCTGATGGCCGAACAAACAATCTTTCTTTCTGCCTTCCGCTGCTGACTTCTCCTACGGGCTCTGGCAATTTTTGACGAAACGTTCGGTCTGGATCATGTTTCCCATATTCGGTTCCTGACCTCTTGGTAATGTGCTTCTCGGACTGCTATATTTTAACGTTTCGACCACTTAAAGGTATGAACTGGTTTATTTATATTTATCAGAATCTTAATAATTTTATTATCCTTACAGCTATTCTTATCATTAGGCATGCAATGTGACGAGGCTTTCACCTGTTCGTGGCAAACGGATTGAAGCGTGGTTCCTCGTTCTTGCCCAAGCCCCTCCCATAGTTTCCCGTTTGGCATCGCGTACATCTTGGAGTCCTCACAACGGATGGTCCACACTTGAAGCTGAATACCTTCAATACCTCCGATTCACACGCGTTGAATGGGCGTCCCTCGGTTCCAGCATGTAAGTGGCTGTCGTTCCCTGTTGTTCTCCCAGTGTCTAGCTAATGCCACCATTTCCTCTTGTTCTCCAGGTAAACTCTCTTCTCCGACAGCTTCCGGACAAAGCTCATCTATCCTCGGACGATCCTTATATCCCCGGTGACTTTCGAGGTTGCTTGGATGTCGGGTCCATCGAGTCGCCAATATTCTCTCCGCGTCGTGGCATTCATGTCGGTTGATCCAGGTTTTTGAAGTATATCGGGTATATAATTCTCGAAATCTGATCCCTAATGTTCATCTTTATTACCTTTATCAGGTCAAAGTCGGAAAACGGCATCTCTAGTCGAGATCTGAGCGCTAACATGGTCTGGATGTATACCTCGATAATTTCTCCTGGCTTCTGCTTCCGTTCTCGTAGCTCATACTCTCGCTCGAAGTTGGATCGGTGACTCTGAAACTGCTGCTGTAGTGCGTACCTCAGGTAAGTCCACTCTTGCTTCTCCGTCGACCTCAAGCCTGCTGCCCCGCTTGACCGATGCTGATCCTGTCCTGGATTGAAGTTGAAGTGTGTCCCACCGTTTCCCGGAGGATGTTCTGGTGGTGTCGTGTGAGACCCATTCCATCTTCTTTGTTCCTGCTCCGTCGACCAGGCTGTTTGCCGATGCTCTTCCGATGCGTGACTATTCATCTCCTGCTTCTCGGACAGCGGCGGGAATCCCATATGGTGACGTACCCCCGGATTGGCGGAGGTTGCTGTAACATCCTCGGGTCGAATGGTGGCATCTGACTGGGATTTGCTTGAGGTGGCGGCATCGGCGTCCCCGAAGAAAGTATTTGGCCCTGTCCAACTGTTGTATTTGAGCCTGACGAACCTGCGTAGATGCCTGCCATGCTGTGTTTTCCTTTACAAAATCTCTACGCCACTCCGCCATGCAGTCGTTTATGTCCTTCATAAACTGCATCATATCCTGCTGCATCTGCTGTTTGATCGCTTCGTATTCCGTAGACATTCCCACCTGGTAAGTCTGTTGTGCTTGAGCCAGTGCTGCATTAACCCCTGACTTTATTTCAGATGGCAAAGACTTTGGTATGGCCCCGGTTCCGCCTACCGACTGATGACCACTAGCTTCTCCCGTACTTCCGCTTCCCATTCCTTCAGGGTTCTGCGACCTTAGCGACTCCGTGCCTTCGGGTGCGGATATGTTCTCCAATTTCCCCTCTTGATTTGCTTGGGAGTCATACTTGCTGGTACCCTATTCCGGATGAACTCCAAACTTCTCCTCAATTTTCTTCCGATTTGGACTCTATCCCTATCACTATTTGGTATATCCTAATTCCTTTCTAATTTATATTTGTTTTTATTTCTCTTTCTTCAACTTTTCTAAAATGGGGGGATGATACGTAGATATATATATTACCCACTAACTTTTCTCTCCTTTCCTTCAGTTCGTGTCAATTTTTGCATAATTATTTAAACGATTTTACTAATTTAATTTACTCTTTATCTTTCAGACTATTTGAAATTTGCTGGGCATCAATGTCACACTTTGTGCACAGTGTACATGGACGACACCAACTCCAAGCACAGACAACAAATTTAGATAAGCTATTACCTTTACTTTACCACAGACAACATATTAAACAGATAATTGTATTCTTTTTTTTTCATATACTGATGAACCTCCTAGCCTGGCTTCGCATGTCCCGCATTTACTCGGTCATGGGTCCACTTCTAGTCGGTCTTTACTCTCTCAGCAAGGATTGTGCTCAGCAAAAAGGACCTTTCGGAATATCCTTCGCTGTGGCTACGATGGGTTGGACCTTCTAAGCCGGCCCACGGTCCAAACAGCTGGTTTCCGATGTCGGTTTCTATTGGCACATTCTCTGGTGAGTGTTTACCTTTTACGTTATGTTTGAAATTTCTTTACTTTTATTGATTCCATTTCATTATTTTCTTATATTTGAATTGGGCGCCATTTGTCGTATCCTGCGTTTTGCGCAGTGTAGATGCCGGCTAGTCATCGAATGGCCCAGGGAGGGGAACAACCAAAAAAATGTCTTCGCCGCAGACACAACAAAAAAAAAAACAAAAAAAATATTCTAGCTCGGACAACGGCAATCTTCACGACTGATTTTTTTTTAACATCTGGACTGGACCACCCAGCTCGTGGTCCTGGAGTCCCTCGCAACCATGAGTGCATCCCTCAACATTCCTTTTGGACACATCTCCCAATTCTGCCTCGTGGGTCGTGCTACCTCGCCTACATCATCTCACCCCCCAACACGAATTTTTATTCACACGAATTCATTTCGTTTTCGCATTATAATTCAAAACTTTCTCTTGAATTCTAACATTTAATAAGCCTTCCTACGGTACCGAACTTTTAGATGGAACACATATATATAAATAAATAAAAAGATAACAATAAATAGTATTTTAGTAGTTTTTGGTTGGCGTAAATAAATAGGTTAAATAAATAAATAATTTGAATAAGTATAAGTTGGGATAAATTAGTTTGGGCGGGTTAGATAATCAATTATATTATCAGTCTCGTTTTTGTTTTCGCCTCGCTGATTTTCTTTGCCACTCGCAGTTTTTGGGAACAACTTTTTAATTTTCTTTGGCAATATAATTTTCTTGCTGAAAATTTTGATCTCCTCCTGGTGGCTGGTCTTCGTCTCTCCTTCTATCAATCTATCTTCATGCTTCACGCTTATCACTCACGGAATATTTGGGTAGTAACTTGACTTCTTTTAATATTATTTCTCTTGCCAACAGAACCGTCTGCGAACACTTATTTTCGCCCTTTTTTGTATCCGGCTTAAGAAACCAGTTCCATAATTTGACTCCGCTGCACGACTCCCTGAACTCACGAGTCGTCGATAGTCGTGTATCGATTTTGTGTTATCTGTCTTGATGTAAACAGCTTAGTTAAATTCGTAATTTGTGCATTTTTTTGTCGTTTAGCACATAACATGGATTATGACTTGCTAATTTCTTTAATTAATGGACCATGCAGGAGCGAAAAACACCTAGAACGCGTTGGTCACAAAAGGGATCTCCGATCGAGACGAAGCCAAGAGGCTAGTGGACCATGGTGGGGTTGGCGTGACGAACAGCTTCACCATTCTTGCTGCTGCATTTTCCTTGTGATATATGTAGGCATTTTCTTACTGTATTATACCCCGATCGCAAGCAAAAATAAAATGAAAATTTAAAATAGCCGAAGGAATTGGTAATGTTGTTGACTTGTCGTTTTTCCCCCACACCCATAGCCGGACCTATTATCGTGCCACCAGAGTAGTTACCCCTTACCATATTTAGTTTTACGGTACATTTCTTAGGTTATATGTTACACTTTAGAAAAGAGAGAGCACAAAGGCTTTTGACCGGTGCTAAGTCCCTGTTGGCTTGGACTTACCCATTTAAATATTAAGTTGTAGGGCTCAAAAACTTTTACAAGCGTAGCCGTTGTTATAGCCAAAAACCCGATCGCTAGTAGCAGAAATGCGCCTGGAAATGAGTTACAAGTTTTAATAGCGTTAAGTTCGTATTAATGGATTTTGTTTATTATAGCCAGACATATGTAAAACATGCAAAATAATAAAATAATAATAACAAAATAATAATAATAAAATAAACCGAGCGCGCCACAGAAATCGCAACGGTTGGGCATGATTCTATACCTTCAAGTCCATGTTGAGGCGTTGCAAGTAAACTCATTTTCAGGACAAACGACAAACGCTGAACCAATGGCAAGTCGTCCACACCCAACAAGTTTGACCCTCTTAAGGATCTTCGCATAAAAAATCTAAGCCACAAGGCAACCAGCACCTTTAGCATGACTCCCCCTCCGAAATTGATCAACGAGATAGGCGGTTCTCTAGCTAAAAAGGTTGATACGATCCAAGGCTAACTTGAACGAACGCTGACAAGTAATCGTTCCAGCAGTTAAGCTCGTGGATCATATTTCCGATATCCTACACATTTATAGCTTTAAAATTCGACGGTTTCTGACGGCAGTTTGGCGATCAGCAAGCAGAACTACATTCATAAAAAATGCACCCCAAATTTTAAAAAATAGTCTGTGATTCTAAAACGCCGAAACATGTTTATAAAGCTTAAGGAATTTCGCCATTTACTTTTTTTTTCTAGGGAAAAGGAATAATAACACCAGCTTACATAAAAAAATCGACGAAATACGGAATTAGGAATTTCTATAACTCTTCAAGGGCATATTGACATTGGGCGTTCTTCGAAAAAGGCAGTTAGCTAGACAATATGTTTGGTGCCTACAATCGACAAAGACATTACAAATTCGGTTTACTCATGTAGCTTCTGCAAGAGCAACAATCCTGCTCCAACTAAAGAGTACCACAGCAGCGTTTTATCCTGTGTCCAACGGATTAGCAGAGCGATTCGTTTAGGCGTTCAAATTCTCAGTAAAGAGCCTTAACAACGGTATACCAGCCGTAGCAGTAATTTAATACAGGTGCACTCTGAATTCCCAGTTATTCCAGCCCATATCAATTCAATTAAGTCAACTTTTCGAGAAGCCTTTCGAAGCCAAACCAATTACCTATTACCAACTACGTCCCATTCAAATGGTCTACTTTTGTAACTATTCAAGGGGAGAAAATTGGATCGAAGGCATTATCGACAGTACAATTGGATAAATTCTCGTTATCATTCGCAACACAAATGTATATATCAATCGCCACATCAATCAGCTGAAACCCAAATTCTTTATTATTGTTGAACGTTGATGCACGTTTTTCATTATGCACGCGCTTCAAATCGCATACAAACTTGTAGGAAAGGGAAGAAATAAAAATTTCGCGTTACAGGGCTGCATATGCGATTTTGTCGTACTTTCCACCACCATTACCCAGCACTTTTCACCAGGTATCCCCGAAACACCTGACAAAAGCGGAAAAAAATGGAATTCGGAGCAGGCAATTGTGTTGTTTTTTATTTATTTACTAATTTTAATTGATTGATTCTCTTCGCAGCAAATAAAAAAATGACTTAGTCAGAGGATGCCACCCAATTCCTGTTGTATTTCTGGGGGAAGAGCATGAATTGGAGTTTAGCAATTTCTCCAAGACATTGTGGGAATCCTAATTTCTCAAATCCTTTCACACATTCTTGAATCTTTTCTTTGGTGAAAAAGATTGAGGACAAGTACTCGGGAGCCATAACTGAAATGACTTCGATTGGTTTACAATTTTGCATACCATTGTTTTTGATATGCCGAATAATCTGCCAATAGCTCTGTAATTATTTGAAATTATTTCCAGTCAACGCGAAATAATTCCTTGAAGAACGCATTAGCATAATTATGCTGCCCTTCAGTCTCCCAAAAGTTTAGCCCATCTATCATATCGGGCGAAAATACGCGAGGAAGGTACATGGAAGAAATAGAAACGTGACACAACAGAGAGAAAAATAGCAGAAACTAAGGCTGAAGCAATTGAGTTAAGATCGTAGTTCTCAATACAGGGACAGCAGTTAAGGAACAAATGAGATGGTTTAGGATGTTAAAATTATTAAGCCTAGTACTCACATCGATGGAAACAGAGAGCTAACCATATGAGTGAGCGAGAGGCAAACACGCGGCTAACGTCTGTTTTTCAGCGCGGTACTCAGTTGAGCTAAGGAAATATTAGAAAAATACCAGTGTTTGGTCATCTCACTGTTTGTTATACCCGTTACTCGTAGAGTAAAAGGGTATACTAGATTCGTCGGAAAGTATGTAACAGGCAGAAGGAAGCGTTTCCGGCCCCATAAAGTATATATATTCTTGATCAGGATCACTAGCCGAATCGATCTAGCCATGTCCGTCTGTCCGTCTGTCCGTATGAACGCTGAGATCTCGGAAACTATGACAGTTACAATACTGGGATTAGGCACGCAGATTTCTGAGATTCCTGCGCAGCGCAAGTTTGTTTCAGTACAGTGCCACGCCCACTCTAACGCCCACAAACCGCCCAAAACTGTGGCTCCTACAGTTTTGATGCTAGATACAAAATTTTAACTGAAATGTATTGCTCTCATCAATACCTATCGATTGACCCAAAAAAAAGTTTACCACGCCCACTTTAACGCCCACAAACCGTGAAAAACTGTGACGCCCACAATTTTCATGCTAGATAAAAAAATTTAACTGAAATGTATTGGTCTCGTCAATACGTATCGATTGGTCCAAAAAAAAATTTGCCACGCCCACTACACACGCTTACTATGTGGTCGGATTCTGAAGTTGTTCTCTTTTGGTTGTGCACTCATCTGTCAAAACTTAAAACATTCGTCGCAAATAGGGTTTCGGCTATTCACGAACTGGCTCCAACTGCAGTCTGGCGACACGTCCCGACTAACTTCAATCCAGCGGACCTACCCTCTCGAGGGACTACGGTCAAAGATCTCGATACGACGCTATGGTTTGAAGGCCCTTCGTTGTTGTCTCAAATCATCCGCTGCTACAAGTAGTTGAAAATTCTTCTTCCTATGTGAAGGTTGTGAGAATTACAACATTTATCTTTCGTTTTGTTTACGGCAGGGCCTGGAAATTGTGGAACGACCACGTCCTATCAGCCACCGAGCTTAGTTTTTCGTTCTCTTATATCGCGCACGCTGTTCAGCGTGAATCGTTTGCAGACGAATTCAATAAATTAAAGAAAAATTTGCCATTACCCAGTTCTTACCAAAAACTTAGCCCATTTATCAGCAACGAAACTTTCGGAACCCGTACTTTAACATTGGTGCGGGTGGGCGGTCGACTAGCGCACGCGGATCTAGAACCCAGTGCCAAATTCCCAATATTAATGCCTAAAGGAAATCGTTTTGTCAAATTGTACATCGAGCACCTGCACTTTGCTAATTGCCATGCAGGACCACGAGCCCTAGTCGGCCTGCTTCAGCAGACAATTTGGTTGATCAATGCACGACGCGAGTGCAGTGCTGTTGTGCGCCGATGCACGCACTGTTTCCGGTATAAGCCACGGTTAATGTCGCAAATAATGGGAAACCTGCCTCTTGACCGTGTCAGAATCAGTCGACCCTTTAGAATAAGCGGAGTCGATCTCTTCGGTCCAATCCGAGTGTCGCTAGGAGTGCGTGGCAAGGCAGCTTTAAAAACGTATGTCGCAGTATTCATATGTTTTTCAACGAAAGCGGTTCACCTAGAACTATTGAAGGATCTCACTTCTAACTCATTTATCCTCTGTCTCAGCAGATTTGTTGGACGGCGCGGCCCGCTCGATCGACTGTACTGCGACAATGCAACCAACTTTGTTTGTTCCTCACGGCTGCTTCAGGAGATGGCCTCCGATGTCCGCAGCACACTGGGAATGTACGGCGACCATCACCAGGTTGAGTTCGTCTTCATTCCGCCCCGGTCGCCTCATTTCGGGGGCCTATGGGAGGCCGCCGTCAAGTCCGCCAAACACCTCTTTTTGAGGGCCGTCGGAAACGCCTTGCTGAAGGAGGACGAAGTCCAGACGATCCTGGTTGAAGTGGAAGCAGTGCTTAACTCGCGTCCGTTAGTAGCTGACAGCAGCAACCCTAACGACGGAGAGGCTATTACTCCAGCCCACTTTCTGGTAGGCACCACGCTCGCTGCTCTACCCCCAGGATCGGCACCTCCTCATCCGGACGACGACCTCACTCATCTACAACGCTGGCAGCTTATATCAGCCATCAAGCGACGGTTTTGGCGAGACTGGTCCCGTGACTATATAGCGGGGCTGCAGCAAAGAGTTAAGTGGACAAAGGAATCGGCCAACCTTCTACCAGGAACCATCGTCGTCATCAAAGAGGACAATTTACCGCCCCAGAAGTGGCTGCTCGGCAGAGTCACCGAAGTAACGCACGGATCGGATGGCAAGGTGCGCGTTGCTCTAGTAAAAACCAAGCAAGGCGTATACAAACGCTCAGTACATCATCTGGCACCTCTTCCCATTAATTGAAGGCCTACAGCGCTTCAACGCGGGCGATGTTTGGTCATCTCACTGTTTGTTTTGTTTTCTATGGTCGTTGCGATGCCGACTATCGAAAGCTGCGAGCAGGGGCGTAGCACAGCTGATAATCGCTAATAAATTACCCCCTACAAGTCGGCAAGCAACGATCATACAACAAAATACTAGATTAAAAAATAATACTAGATTACCATAAAATACTAACTCTAGATACCAATGTAATAGGGAAGATCGCCAACGAGCGAGTTGGTAACATTGTTGAATAGAAAAGCTCTTGAAATAAACGCACAATTACATAGATAGCGGCTAAGCAATGTTTTAAATAAAACCAGTGGATTCGCGAAGTTGCATATTTACTCCTGCTTCCTGAGCAAACAACCAGAGTTAGCAATTTTACTTGCAATGTATTGTTTCAGCTTATTTTGCAAATGAGAAGAAGCATTTCGGTCAAAGACTTTATTTTTCAGACCATTTTAAAAGACATTCGCCTTCGCACTCTTTTTGTGAAGTGGAATATTAAAATAGTCTTTCGAGATA